TTAATGTGCATTTTTCTGTCATTATTAATGATGTATTAAACAGTTATTTTTCTTCATTCTCCAGATTACAGCAGTGTTGTGGTATTTCTCCTTATTTGTTTACTATTGTGATGAATATTTTCTCCTCTCTGTTGGATGCACTTCGTAGGGATATTATTTAACAAAAAGCTTTTTACATTTCTCATTTAATTTATGTCGATGATCTTTTTTATGTTTGGTAAAGTTGATACTGCTCATATAAATAATATGATCAATGCTTTAAATATCTTTAGTCAAGTTTCTAAGTGACCATTAATTTCCTTAAACCCGCTATTTTTTTAAATTTGTCGAGCCTTCTTTGAAACAATGCTTATGTGTTAATAGTGGGTTTAATATTAAGGCCTTGCCTTGGACTCACCTTCACATTACTGTTAAACATTCCAATATTAATTTTGTTGATTGTCATAATCTCATTGATGAACTTAATAATTGGTAGTTGGCTGGAAGCAAGCTATTTTATCTTTTATTGTAGATTCAAACTTATACACTTTTGAGTTATCTTTATTTTGTTCATTTCTATTTCGTTGCCAAAAAATCTTAAGAAGAGAATTTCATCTATGATTAGCAATTTTTTGTCTCATAATAGTACAAATAAAAATTGAATATTATTTCTTGAAATATGGTTACTTTGCCTAATGTTTGTGGGTGTCATTGTATTCCCTCTTTAGATAACCTTAATCTCATGTGTAAGGCTGAAAGTATTTGGAGAGATTTCAATTCTAATTTTTTTAGCCAATTGGTGCATTGCTCACTATGGCTCAATTTGATTCAATTCTCATTCTCATATTTCTTTCTTTCGGAAAGACCTTATTAAGGCGGCTTTCAATATTCGAGGAGGCATCTCATTTGAATTGAAGTGTAATAGCAATTTCATTTTTCTTATTTATCTGTTTGAAATTTTATGGAATCCTATTTTTAATTGGTTTCATTTTCAAAATATATTAGACTAAAAGTTGTTTTGTTTAATGGTGATTGGTGCTTTACTCATACCTGGAAAATTCATATGAAGTGCATTAACTTAATTCATAGTATTCCTATTGTGGATAACAATATTAGCTGTCTTTGGAGAGGTTTATACTACTTTTATCATAAAGTTACTTATCATTTCACTTATGATAATTTGCCTATCAAAGATTGGAATATGCTAGTTTGATTTAAAGGTTATTCTCTTAAGCATGATTTTTATACTTTGTTGATCATTCATGTGGGCTTTGAGATTATTGATGTGCTTAATGCTAGAGGCATTCATGTTAAACTTACTTGTGTGCTTAATAGTTTCGAGTCTCATAATCACCTGAATATTGAATTTTGCTTCTCTCTTAATCTTCCAACGGTATGCATTTCTAATGAAGATTTCTTTTTAGGTGTTAATAATATATTCCAAACTATTTATCAAGCTTACAATTTTAACTACAAATCTATTGAAGGGTTCTTTATTATTGTCATTCAATCTATTGCCTTTTAAATTTGACCGGAAAAGAATAATGTGATCTTTAATAGTCTTCATTCTCTTCTCGAAATTATTATTAAAAATATTCATTGACTGATTAAATTTAAAAGTAGAACATGGAAGTTCAAGAATCCTGTTAAAAATAGTGTTTGAGATTTTATAAATTCTAATTTTCTTTGATCTTTCATTTTTTTTTTATTTTTCTTTTCACCACCTTGTTTTATTTTCTTTTTCAGATTTGTACTAATCAGTTAGAATAGTTCACTTATGCTCTTAATTTTTTTTTTGTGTTATGATCTAAGATGTATCCAATCTTTACTTGGAGATTTAACCGCTCATTTGAGGATTTTCTTACCTTTGTTCTGTTAATTACTACTTTGAACCTAGATGGAATCTTAAAATGCAATTGTTTAAAGAAGTTTTTTTGGATTTTTTATTTTTTTGCATTCTCTTGTAAGCTTAGATGGAGTCTCTTTGTTAAGTTATTGAGTTAAACAAGCTCCTAGATTTCAAATATTATTTCTTCGGTTTTGATTATTGGTTGTTGAATCATTGAAGTGGGTTGTCTTCTTCTCTTCTTTCCTAGTATAAGTAGTTGTAGATTTTTTATTGTGAGTGGCTAGTGTTGTTGTTATCTATTTATTCGATCATTTGGATATTATTCTTTAGGATGTTGGATGTTGTTGGTTTTATTGTGATTTGCATTGGATGGAGATTTTATATTATGAGTTGAACATTCTTTCTAGAGCTGCTGGGAGTAGTGCACTCTCTCCATTTTAGAGGTCCTGCTTACGTTTTAGTGACCTAGCTACCTCTTTGTCGTATTGTCACTTGTTGTGTCCTTTTTAGGACCATGAAATTCAGATAATGCATCAATTGTTATGGTTAGCAACTTGATGCTATTCTATTCTTTTCTTGTACCCTCAACACTTCAGCCGCTGCCTTATGGTACACACTCGTGCGGTTGTACTCTTTTGATTGGTTCTTTAACCTTTTCTTGAGCTTGATCGATGTTCCTTTTTGATTGATAGAAATAGTTAGTCGAGTGTGATCATGATCAAAGTACATTGGGGAATATCTTTTCCTTTATGTCAATGTTTTTGGTGCGCAAGAGAAGACCATTGCTTTTGGTTCCTTCAAGCACCTACTCGAGATTACCTTAAGTAATTATATACCCTAAGAGGCATCTGCCATATGCCATCATCTAAAAAAAGAGTTGTGCATGTGATGCTTCTTTTGTTGTAGCAGCTTGTATTTGTGATACTATTCCCTCGAGGAAGAGGCCAACAATAGATAGTGATGGGATATAACCTCTTTCGTGCTAGCTGCTCGTATCAGTACTACTCTTCCCTCGAGGAAAGGAGGAGGCCAGTACTTGATGGCAATGTGTTGCAACACTCTTCTATAATTTCTAACCTCTCAGGTGGTCCTTTCGTTCCTTCGAGGATTTTCAGTCTCGCAAATGTTGAACTATCTAGGAACGCTAAAGTTCCTTTACGACATGGTGTCTGGCTGTGCGGACCACGTCCTCGTTAGGCATTGGCTACGTGCCCTAAGGAGTTGTGCATGTGACACTTCTTTTGTTTTAGCAGATCATAGTGATACTACTCTTCTCTCGAGAAGGAGGCCAGTACCAGATGGCAATGTGCTACACACGCTTCTGTGCTTTGTAGCCCCTCTTGTGGTCCGTTTGTACTTTCAAGGATTCCATCCTCGTTGATGTTGCACTTTCTAAGAGCGCTAGAGTTTCCTTTTATGATACAATGTCTAGCCTTGAAAAACATGTCCCTGTCATGAATCGTTCTGTTTGCTTGTGCAGACCATGTCCTTGACAAGACTCATTGTGTCTTGTCGTGCGGACCATGTCCCCACTATGAATTTTTGGTTTCAGCCCAAGATGAGCATAAATCCCATCGGTTGAGAATCACCTTTCCGTCTTCTAGTCGTGCGGACCATTTCCCCTCCATGAAATTTTGATTCTGGCCCCCGACATGATGCTCGAATCACATCAAATAGGAATCATTTCTCTTCCTCTGGTGGCGCATACCATGTTCTGTCACGACTCTTTTCGATTTCGTCCCGGGATGATGCTTAAATCCCATCAACTAAGAATCACCTATCTCATCCTCAGGCGGTGTGAACCATGTCCCCTGCATGACTTGCTTTTATTATGGCCCAGGATGATGCTTAAATCCAATCAGTTGAGAATCACCTCTCATCCTCTTGCGATGCGGACCATGTCCCCGTGATGACTTTTTCAATTCCGACTTGGGATGATGCTTAAATCATGTTGGCTGAGAATCACTTCTCGTTCTCTAGCTGTGCGAACCATGTCCCCACCTGACTTTTTTGGTTCCAGACTAGGATGATACTCGAATCCTATCTGCTAATAACCATCTTTCTCATCCTCTGGTGGTGTGAACCATGTCCCTGCCATGACTTGTTTCGGTTCCAACGCGGGGTGACACTAGAATCCCGTCGGCTGAGAATCACCTCTACTTCCTCTGACTGTTTGTAAAATGTCATTGTCATGACTCATTTCAATTTCGGTTTGGGATGACGCTAAAATTTGTCGGCTGAGAATCACATCTCGTCCTCCAGTGGTGCAGACCATTGTAGATCTTATTTTTATGAGGTTTGTCTCTACCTCTCTCCAGAGCCTATGATCTAGCCATAAAACGTCTCTATTGACTATCCTAAAGGACAAGTATTGAAACCCACACAACTTTAAAAATTTCAAAACAATTTTTGACTCCTCTCTCACTCGCTCTCACTCTGTCTCTCTCCCTAAAATCACTTTAATCTAAGAAACATACTTGAGACATTTTGCTGACTTACCGGTGGTTCAAGTTCAATACACAATCTCGAGAACTTATCTCAAGCCTTATATACATCCATCACTCTCTTCCACAAAAAATAATTTCTTTATATGTACTCACGAGTAATATGAAACTCTACGATCTAAAAGTACTTAACAATATATATATATATAATTTTTGTTTTCTATTTTATGTTTGAAAATATATTTAGTTAGTATAATTTTTATATAATTTTATTTTTCATTTTTAACTACTACAGTCATTCATTTCAAAACGTAAATAAAACAAAATTAAAATAAAAAATCGAGAAAAATTAAAAGTGATCCCAAATTGAACCTAAAATAATGATATTATTTTTGTGGTATTAATATAAGAGGCATTACATACATACCACCCACTATCTTTGTATGTCTAACTGTGTAACACCTAAACTTTGATTTTTAATAAAACCAAAATCTTTCATATCACATCAAAAAATATCATAATTTTAATTTAAAAAGATGAAATCCATCTTTTCATTCATAAATATGGTGTCATATGTGTAAAAATGATGGTTTAAGTGTTAGATATGTAAATACATATGAATTGTGAGGTATGCATGCAAATCTTCAAGAATGTAAGACCTAAAATTTAGGAATTGCCTACGCAAATACTTAAAAATTGACTGGTGAGAATGTAAATGCCCGTGCATTTAAATACTCCTAAAAGCCTAAAAAATATCCCCGTCACCATACCTTCGTTGCTCCTGCTTAATCAGAAACCATGTTAGCATCAGCTGAACCCGACGATCCTCTTGTTAACCCCACTGTCAAAGAACTCGCCGACCACAACATCTCTTTGCCATCTATTTACTTCAACTACAGCCCGGCCGTTGCTGAAACCGAAACCGTCCTCAAGGAAGAGATCCCAACCATTGATATTTCTCCCCTAAGAAATGGAACTCCCGATGAACGGTCGAGGGTCATCCTTGATATTGGGCGGGCTTGTGAAGAATGGGGCTGCTTCACTGTGAGTGTTCGATCGGCTAAAATGCATCTTATAAGGTAAGGAAATCAAGTGAATTAATGAAAAACTGAACTGTTCCAGGTTGTAAATCATGGTGTCTCAGAGAGCTTAACGACGGCGATGGTAGGAGCGTTCTCCGATTTTTTCAACCTAACGGAGGAGGAGAAGAAAGTTTACACGGCAAAAGATATGTTTGCGCCGGTCTGCCATGGGACGAGCACTAATTTGATGGGGAAGGATGTGCGATTTTGGAGGGATTTTCTTAGGGTTTTTGTCTATCCGGAGTTCAACTACCCAGACAAACCTCAAGATTTCAGGTTCTTTATATTTGCATTTTCTTAATAAATTTATTTATTTTATGTGCTTGTTTATTGTTTTCTTTTTTAAAATTTTTCTTGTTAAATTTAATTGTAATGGATCATGAGGAAAGCTCCACTCTACCTTGGTTATGCTTTTAAATTAATTCTATGGCATCATATTTTCTTCAACCTAATTAGGGGTGTAACTGAGGCAATCTGGCTCGTGAACTGGAAAAATATTTGCGTACATAAGACGTACACAGCGCTGCGTACGTCAGAGGTTATTCAAGGGGTACAGGGGGATTATATCCGGGTTATACCCACATGTAACCTCCGTGTAACTCCCTTGTAACCTCCGTGTAACTTATTTGTAACTATGAAACTAAGTGCGGAACTCATTTGTAGAACTCATTTGTAGGTTACATGTAGTTTACAAAAAGGTTACATGGGGGTTACAGAGGGGTAAAACCCTGATATAACCCCCCTGTACCCCTTGAATAACCCCTGGAGGTACACAGCGCTGCGTACGTCTTATGCACGCAAATATTTTCCCGTGAACTGGGTCAAGCATTGCTCCATAAATGGTTCGTGAATTTGGCTTGATGAGCTAATGAGCCAAACTTGAGTCAGCCTCTACTCGGACTAATTAGTTCATAAACTAGCTCGAGTTAAAAAATATTAATATAAAATATTCTTAAATATATTAAAATTTTAGAGTTAAATTTAAACAATATATTTTGTATGCTTAAATTAAGTGATTTTTTATTATTTCTTTTCTAATTGTTGTTTTTTTTAATTACAATAATTTCATGAATTAAAGTCATATTCTCTCTTTAATATTAAACAAGCACGCTCCTGAGCGAATTTAAATTTGTAGAATTAAGTTCGAGTTTGGACCGAAACTTGATTAATTGATCAAACTTCTAATTATTGACCAATTATAACTCGAATTTGCGGGTTTTATGAGCGACTTGGGTGCTAATAACCACCTCTAGGGTGTTGTCATCATAAGAATATGTTTCCATAATCTGCATCATATGGCTTCTCTTTTCAAACCATGGATAAATCTGCCCCTTTTTGTTACGGAGAACGAGTATTTAATTTTATAAAGTGGTCAGTTCAAGTGGTTTGTCTTTATTCATAATCTTAAACTTTTAAATTGAAAATAACCTTCATTAATGGTATATCTTGTTAAGTATTGTGGAGCCCGGTCCACTATTTTGGTTTGACATTCTCGACATATATGGAAGTTAATTAAAGGGCTTTTAATTAACACCTTTTAATTATTTCTCCTTTGATTATTCTCTGTCGCCTTTCTCTATTCCCGCCTTCATCCTTTAGCTAATAAGGCAGTTGTCTTTGGCGGTGAATAAGGAATTGATAAATTCTTTTTTTGGTATGATGGTGGGTGCCACCACCATTAAATGCTTGCAGAAGAATTTGCATTAAATAGTGGTTGGTTTCCCCTCCATTATTCTTCAAGGCGTTGGCTCACACAAGGAATAATTGGATTGCAAGGTTCCAAGTTCTCCCTCTGTCTCTTCTGCGATTTGCTTGCGATGCAACAAAGTAAGAGGGAGTTGTTGCTTGTGGCGAGGACTTCCCTCTTCCCTGCGATTCGTTCTTCTTCGGTGGCTTACGGGTAAAGGAGGAGGGAGGAGGTTGGGGAGAGGAGGAAGAAGAGAGAGAGAACCATTCTTGTAATCGTCGATGTGATCGACGAGTATAATCCTCAATGTAATAAAATCCTAAGTAACTCCGTGGGCATAGACAATTTGTCGAACTACATAAATCTGTGTGTTCCGCTGTGTTTTCTATTTTGAGAATTTCTTGTTCGATTTTTTCGCTTTATTACCGTCATTTTTCACAACAACTGATATTAGAGCTTTGGTTCAGACTTGAGAAGTGATGACATCGGGGAATCGAGAAATTTAATGACAGAGATTTTGGTTACTGGAGTATCCAGATAGAGGACTATCTCTATAAGAAGAAACTTCATCTTTCGTTACTGAGAAAACGACTGGAGAAGATGGATGGAACTGATTGAAATCTTTTGGATCGACAGGTTCTGAGGATTGTTCGATTAATCCTGTCAAGATTTATTGCCTACAACGTCATCAAAGAAATGATTACTGCAAATCCCATGACAGATTTATCAGTTATGTATGAAAAGCCATCGATGCACGTGATGAAAAAATTATTCAACTTGAAGATAGCGGAATGTGTGTCAATTGCTCAACATCTAAATGATTTCAATACCATCACAAATTAATTGTCGTCCGTTGAAATTAATTTTGACGATGAGATACGTGCGCTGATATCGTTGGCTTCATTGTCAAATAATTGGGAAGTCATGAGGATGACAATTAACAATTCTGTAGGTAAATCTAAACTGAAATGTGATGTATTTGTGATTTGATTTTAGCTGAGGAGGAGCTGAGGAGGTGGGTGCGCAGGAAAGATTCTGGCGAGATCTCGGGTTCGAATTCGTCACTGAATGTTGATTCTAGAGGGAGATCTTAGGACATGAACTCAAACTGAGAAATATCAAAATCAAAGTATAGAGGCAAGAACAAGACAAAGTCTGATCAGCAGACAACCTGTTGGAATTGCGGCAAAACTGACCATATAAAGAAGAACTTCAAAAATTCCAAAAAGACAGGGAATGCTAACACTAATGCTGTAACTAAAGAAGTACAAGATGCACTATTGCTGACAGTTCACAGTTCTGTTGATGACTGGATATTGGATTCTGGATTATTGGATTCATGTGCTTCCTTCCATACATCTTCTCACCGGGAGTTAATGCGAAATTATATTGCAGGTAATTTTAGGAAGGTATATCTTGCTGATGGAAAAGCTCTGAACGTGATGAGGATGATAAATGTTTAAATTATACTCCCTAATAAGAACAAATGAAGCTTGAAAAAGATCAGACACATTCTTGAGCTGAAGAAGAATCTAATTTTTGTTTGACAGCTCGATGAAGGAGGACATTCAATAATATTCTCAGATAGCACTTGGAAGGTCACTAAATGAGCACTAATATTGGCTCGGGGTAAGAAAACTGATACATTGTATATGTTACATGTTTAATTAATAGTGTTGATACTATAGTTGCAGGGAGCACATCGAAAATGTGGCACTGCATGCTTGGCCACATGAGTCAGAAGAGTCTGAAAGAACTTCAGTCTATAGGCAAGCTACCAGAGATGAAATCAGTTTATCTCAGCATGTGTGAGAGTTGCAGTATAGGGAAACAGAAAAATGTCTGTTTCCTAAAAAGTGGCAGAGTGCCAAAGACGGGAAAACTGTATCTTGTACACAGACGTGTAGAGACCTTTTCCAGTGACATCTCTTGGAGGCTCTCGTTACTGCGTCATATTCATTGATGACCAGAAAGATAAGGTTTGATGATCTGCAGATGTCATAGTGCAGAGTAGTGATGGAAGTAATGAGGAGAGTGGGTCCGATTCACCCATTCCTATTGTTCCATAGTCGATTTTTAAGCCATTTACCCCTACAATTACAGTTCGCAGGTTAGTCAGGAACAGACGTTCTCCACAACATTACTCACAGACCCTAAACTACATCCTGCTGACAGACGGTGAAGAACCGCAGAGCTATAAAAAAATCTTTCAAGATGAAAATTCAATGAAGTGGAAACTGACCCTGAAGAGGAGATGAATTCCCTGCCCGAGAATCAAACTTGGGAGGTGATAGAACTTCCACAAGGGAAGAAAGTATTGCACAAGTGGGTGTACCAGGTGAAGACTGAGCATGATGACAGTAAGAGGTACAATGTTAGATTTGTTGAAATGGGCTCTGAGCAGAGACAGACATTGCCCATGCAGTGAGAGTTGTAAGCAGAAACATGAATAACCCAAGAAAAAGTTTGGAGTTACAAAGCTATGTTGACGCTGATATATTGACTAAAGATGTTACTTTTGAGAAAATGAGATTGTGCTCAACTTCAGTTGGTCTTCTAGCATGAAAACTGAAGCTTTGAGTTGCAGAGGTGAAGGATATCACTTTTGGAAAAATGGGCGATACAGCTAGTGGATGGTGCAGTCAGTGTTCCGGTCTCAAAGCGGAAGAATTGTTAAGTATTGTGGAGCCCGGTCCGCTATTTTAATTTGGTAGTCTCGACATCTATGGAAGTTAATTATAGGGCTTTTAATCATCCCATTTTGATTATTTCTCCTTTGATTATTCTTTTTTGCCTTTCTCTATTCCCGCTTCCGTCCTTTAGCTAATAAGGTAGCTGCCTTTAGTGGTGAATAAAAAATTGATAAATTCATTTTTTGGTGTGATGGAGGGTCTCGCCACCATTAAATGCTTGCAGAAGAAATTTGATTAAATAGTTGTTGCTCTCCCCTCTGCTATTCTTCAAGGCATTGGTTCACACAAGTAATAATTGAATTGCAAGTTTCCAAGTTCTCCCTTTGTTTCTTCTGCGATTTGCTTGCGGTGAAGACAGAGGAAGAGGGAGCTGTTGCTTGCGGTGAGGACTTCCCTCTTCCCTGCGGTTCGTTCTTCTTCGGTGGCTCACGGGTAAAGGAGGGAAGTGGAGGTTGAGGGAGAGGAGGGAGAGGAGGAAGAAGAGGGAGAGACCCTTTCTTGTAATTATCGAGGTGATCGATGGGTGTAATCCTCAAAGTAATAAAATCCTCAGCAACTCCGTGGATGTAGACAATTTGCCGAACTATGTAAATCTGTGTGTTCTGCTGTGTTTTCTGTTTTGCAAATTTCTTGTTCTGTTTTTTCGCTTTATTACTGTCATTTTTCACAACATATCTAGCCCGGTTTTATTCCCCATTAGGTTCATTTCATAACAAGTGATATTAGGGCTAGTTGTTTACTTGAGATTAAGTTGTTCGTGAAATTTGTGGCACTCATGAGCCTTGTTGTCCTTCCACTGTGCATGAAAATTCAAAACATACAATTTTCATGTTGCCACCATTTGGTTGAGTGAGATCATAATGCTTGATGTTTGATATTGAAAAGCATCTAATAAA